AGAAATGCTTCCATTTCAGAGTGAATCAATTGGTTTTCACTATGGCCTCCACTCATATAACTCCCATAGTAGGTAGTTTTTCAATTACGTATCTATGTCAAAACCATTCCCACACACCACACAAATAAAGAGAATGAGAATATTACACTCAAGGATCCAAGCTTCTTATTAATATCTAGAAAAGCCTTATTCACTTTTCAGAGTAAATCAATCGATTTTTATTATGGCCTCCACTCATATAACTCCCACAGTGGGTAGTTTTCAATTGTGTATCTATGTCAAAACCATTCCCACACACCACACAAATAAAGAGAATGAGAATATTACATTCAAGGATCCAAGCTTCTTATCAATATCTAGAAAAGCCTTATTCAGCAACGTGGGCTTAGGTTTGAGCTAAAACTTGATCCACCAAGGGTGGACTTGCTAAACCCAACAATTTCAATTAGGCAAATACATACTCAAGGCATAAATTAGGTTTAGTAATGTTGGCAAACCATGTAACACCCTAAACATATTATGTGGCATGTTTTACTTAAAAATAAATGATATGAATGTCAAGATCTCCAAAAAAAAGTAATATCCCTTAACCCTTTATAATATTTTATGTTATGCACATATAAGCATAATCACATGATTAATTGGAAATTAGTTGGAAATGTTGTAAGTGATTTTTGGGATGAGTAAATGTTTTAGAAAATAGAAGAAGGCTGCTGGTAATCTTAATGCAGTCTAAATTCTTGCTCCAAACTGGATTCAGCTTCAGTGCTCATTGCCCATCATAATGATAAGATCTGAACTATTCAGATTTTAATTTGAATAGTTCATATTTTAAATATTATTTTATATTTATTAAAATAAAAATTTATAAAAATTATAAAAAAATTTACTAAATATTTTTATCATTAATCTAGTTTAGATTTAATTTGAGGGTCTAATTTAATATTAAAATTTTTATAATTTTTATATATTAACTATCTAGATAAGTTTCGCATAATACAAGTTTAAAATGTTTAACTTATAATTTTTTATAAAAACATATTTTTAAAAAGTGCTAGTTTTATATATTTTAATTTTTAATATGTTATTTATCAAAATAAAAAATTATAAAAATTATAAAAATTTATAATCTTAAATATAAACTATACAAAGTATAATTAGATAATCAATATGTAAAAGTTATAAAAATTTTAATATTAAGGTAGACTCGCCAAAATAAATTTAGACTCAATTAATAATAAAATAAATTTATAATTTTTTAAATTTTTATTTTAATAATATGAAATAAAAATAAAAATAGTGCTTTAAATTTAAATCAATTAACTTAAAATTTAAATGGTTCATATTTTATTACCACGAGCACAATCATGACAATAAGCACCCAAGGTGGACCCGCTCTGAACCAGTGTCATTTTGTTACTCTAATACGTAACTGATAACTTCATTTCGGCCCAAAAAAATAATAATAATAATAATAACTTCATTAATTTTTTCATTTCTTTTGAGTCGGAAGGGAAGCTTCCTGCTTCATACTTAGAACGTGCGTGGCACTTTTTCAATTAACACGTATGTACGTGAAGAAACGCGAAGCTTCCTGATTCGTACAATAATTTCATTTTGCAATTTCATAAATTTTACAAAAGGTTAAAACGCAAATTACATCTAAAACTGTCTGATGTTCTAAATTTATTTCTGATATAATATTTTTTAATTTTTAAAAATAATATAATTATTTTTTTTTATAATTAGTAAAAGTTAAATTTAACCATTAGTTGAAAAAATAAAAAAAAATTTTAAATTATAAAAAAGATCTAAAAATTATAGTAAAGGACCTAAAAATTAAAAAATAAAGACAAACAATTTCCAGAAAATGATCAAAAAATTTTATTAGTCCTTTTTTTCTAAAAAAATTTGAAGTTATTTTCTAGTCAATTAATAATCAAAGTTAACTTTTTTTAATAGTAAGTATTATATTGCATAGTTTTTAAAAGTTAATGGAAAATATTATATTAAAAATGAATTTAAAGTCTCAAACCAATTTACTCTTTTATCTTTTTGTAAATGTTCTTCATTTCTTTATTATATAATCCAAATTGATTTTGATGTAAGTAATTGATTGCATAAATATGTAAGAAATTACTGATTTCATTAAAATTAAAATATCTCATTTTAATTTTCTAATTGTTTTATCAATTAAAGTAGTCATTATTCTACTTGCCAATATATATAACTGCTACAAGTTGAACATGTATAAATGTGTGCGTGTGTGTATAATACATTATATACACACACATATATTAATTATATTTCTATGTGGATAATTTCGTTTGCTAAAATTTAAAATTCATCATGAGCCGTACCCACAGCAAATGGCTTATGTACTTTTTATTCCTTTTCATATATATATATATATATATATGTGCATGCATGCATGCATGTACCATTAATTAGAACCTTTTACCCTCATGCATGTACCATTAATTAGAACCTTTTACCCTCGTGAAACTTTTCCCACAACCTTCCTCACTTGGCTTCACGCACTTTGTCTCATCAATCAATCCAAACAAATAATATGCAAATAAATAATAACTTTAAATACATGAATTTTATAATTAAGATTTTAAAAATGATATCCAAATTTAAATTCATCAATCCAAATGTTACCATAAAGAAAATGACAATTACAAACAATGTGAATTAAAAGATCATTTGTCTAATTTTCAATTAAAAAAAGAAGATCCAGATCGCTTTTCATTAAATGAAAAGTTAATTATGAAGGGATAGTCACTTTGAATTTGAAGAATGTCTTTTTTTTTTTTCCCAAACAATTTGAGGAATGTCACTTGAATGATAATCTTATAAATGTATGCATAGTCACTTGCAAATTTAAGATTACTTACCTGCGAATTTCAGAAAAATTATTAATATAGATTTGAATTTGAACAAAATTTTAATTTGCATATATATAAGATTATATATTTGAACTTGATTCAAATCTAAATTCATTTTAAATTATAATTTTTTTATAATTTTAAATTCATTCTACACCTTAATATTTAAAATTTTAATCATTTTGAACATCTTATTCTATTGTCATTTTTACAATTAATATCTCAATAATTTTTATATCTTTACTCATCTTTTATTGATTAAAAATAGAAATAAATTTGTCATTTTTAAATTTTTATTTTCATTTCGAATATCAATTCTTATCTCTTCTTCATTTGAAATAGTTTAAACTATCCAAATAAAAAATATTAAATTCATGAATTTTTTTAAATGTGAGATTTGAAATACAATATTTCAAATCTAAAATTTAAATCCAAATCTATGAATTTAAATGCTACCTTGATAGATTTACAAATGACAACATATTTTTTTAAAACCAATTATATGTACCTAAATCACAAATAATGAAACATAAATTTACAAGACTGTATTCATTTACAACTAACTTTCCTAGATTCATAGGTGACGATTGAAAATTTAATAAGTAATAATCTTTAAATTTACAAGTGGTGATGCATAAATTTATAAGATTCTCTATTTAGTCAACTTTCTTAAATGACATTCTTTTAATTCATAACTAACTTTTCTTAAATTCAATAGTAACTTTTCATTGACTATTTAAATTAAATAATTGTTTGCATTTTTATTACACAAAGATTATGATCCTTTCATGAAATTTCAATAATTATTATTAATACCTTCACAATTCCATAATTATCAGCTTAATTTTATTTGGGTGTTCAGAAAAGGGCAAAGTGGCACCCACCCCGAACGGAATAATTAATATATTAACTAAATAACTAGAGTTTTTGGTAATTTACTAAGAAAATAAGTTTGAAGGATTAGTAGTTGCTTTAATTAAGTTTATTTAATTATCTAATTAACTTTTAAACCATTAAATTCATGACAAATTTTAATTGATCTTTTGTCAACCGATCCCACAGAATGTTTCAAATTTAAAAATTAACATAGAACGATGTCAACAGATTTTTAATTTTATTCCTCCATAAATTACAGAAATTGGTTATCAATAGCTAGATAAATATTAAGAAAATTCTAAAATTATTCATATGTTGTCAACTTAATTTTGTCATGAAGATTATTCATCCTACCATATATAGTGTTTAGAAAAATATACCACATTAATTATTAAAATCTTTAAAAAATGGCGCGACAAAATCAAGGAATAGAGATTAGTTCGACTTTCTTTGTCCTGAGTGGGTTTTGATGGGCATCGCCCAACAAAAAAAGCATTCCTTTCCGGAAATACTTAAAATACATTATTTTCTAATCTAACATTTTGCTTTAAGATTTAGATCTCTTGCCTTGTATGCGTGGAAAGGGGCTCAAGAAAAAAAGAAGGAAGCATGAGACTTGGGTATATTCTAAGTTTGACTCCTAGTGCTTATCAGAAGTGATTTTATATATATTTATTTAAATAAAAATTATAAAAATTATTAATTTTTTTAAAAATAAATTTTATCACTAATATGTAAAGTATGGATATAATACGGATAATCTAAATTTAAGATTTAAATATTATATTTTTTTATAAATTAACTATCTATAGACGCTCTGGATGCTCTAGATTCAAAAATTTTAAATTTTGATTTTTCTTAATTTTTTTTTGAAACTATTAATTAAGAGATTATCTTTATTTTTAATATAGTATTTACCAAAATAAAAATGTATAAAATTATTAAAAAAATTAATATTAAATTTAAATTATTTAGCATACATCTAGAGAGTCAATTTTCACAAATTATAAAATTTTTAAATTGAATTAAATCATTCAAATTAAATATGTAGTGTCCAAATTTATCATGAACAAATTTATTAATTTTTTTAAAATTTTTATTTTCATAAATATAAAATGAAAATATAAAATACATATTTTAAATATGGATCGTATATATTTAAATTTAGATGATCCAAATCTCATCATTATAATGAGCACCATGGATGATGATCCCTTGCGAAAAGCTAAACCCAAGTAATCCTTATTCAATATTTCTTATCGTCAGAACATGTTTATATATGTAATTAAGGACCAAGAATATGTAAGTTTTTCAGTTCATTATTTTCTAGATGAGCTAGCTAAGCAGAAAAAGCAAAGGTTCATCATTTCTTCTCTCCAAACTTGTAATCCTTGTTATATATCTTGTGTCCGAACACATACCAATAACCCACAGCATCATTTTTCAATGGATGGGCACGTAGTTTTGGGCTTTGGATTCATAACAATTGGTTTATGGCACTTGTTCAACCACATCAAGCTCCATGCACTTAGACCCACTTCGTCTTCGACTTTCTGTTCTACTAATTTCTGGTTTCCCACCCCCAAGTTCAGATACTTAGAGCTCATCTTCATCATTGTTAGCTCCACAATTTTCATAGCCTTGGAACTCTTCATCTCTCCCTCTCATCACCAACCTTTCGACCCAGATGGAAGCATCCCTTCCACACACCTTCACAACTTAGAACATTCATCCATGTCCCTAGCTTTCTTCATCTACGCTTCGTTCGCCATAGCTCTAGACCTTACTCCCTCTTATAAAGCTCAGAAAGAACTAACCCATTTGTTAGCTGCCATAGCTTTCGCTCAGGAACTTCTTCTTATTCACTTTCACTCTTCTGATCACAGAGGACCAGAAGGCCAATACCACCTTCTTGCTCAGTTTCTGGATTTTGTTTCTCTGGCTACAACGCTTATGGGAATTGGATTGCGTTATAGTTTCATGGTTTGCTTCTTGAGATCGCTTAGTATAATGTTTCAAGGTGTGTGGCTTATGGTTATGGGGCTTATGCTTTGGACTCCTGGGTTGATTCCCAAAGGATGCTTTTTGAATCTTGAAGATGGTCACTATGTGGTGAGATGTTCCAATGAAGAGACGCTTCAGAGAGCTCGCTCGTTGGTTAATATTCAGTTCAGCTGGATCTTTATTGCGGTTGTCGTTTTCGCCGTGTCGTTTTACATCGTTTTGGTAAGGTATTATCAAGACAATAAGCTGGCATATGGTCGTTTAGAAGATGATCTGAATGATGACGACATTGAGTCTCAAAAGAAAAGCATACAACTTGTTGGTAATATAGTTGCTCATTAGAGTCGTTGTGAATTATTCCGTATGCATGTTTGTGTCTGTAGATCATTCGAGTAATTGAATAATTGATTACACATATTTTGTTGTAGAAAATTAATTTTTTGGATCCAATCTCAAATTAGAAGTGCCAACTTACAATGCCAATTGTGTGTATATATTAAGTACTCGGTCTAATCCTAAAAAATAAAAAATCTAGTGAAATAATTTATAAAGATTAAGGAAATTTGGTTATTTAAGTCCGAAAATGCCAAAATAAAAATGAATTTATATCCCAAATATTGGAGAGGTCTATAATTTCTCTAAAAGTTAGTTCAATTGTCTAATCATCCAAGATTACCACATAATTAATAAGATCTTTGAATCCTGAAATTCTAGGATCCAAATATAATAACTACGTATTAAAAATAGTTCAATCCCATTATCATGTTTTCCCATCTATGGAGTAATATTTATGATAGTTCAAAAGTCACATAAAAGGGGCTGAATTGGGTGAGAGTTGTCATAACCTAACTCTTATATGTTATAGGTCACATTTAAATCCTTTTAGAGATTTATGCACATTTGTCATGACAGACGACATGGAAGCAAAATTTGCTATGCCGCATCTAGGTGATCATTGCATTGGGGCGTGTATTCATTATGTCATGTATTGTGACTAAAGGCATCATGCACCGTGGTGCAAATGATAATGACTTTCGTGATGGCAAATGGCTTTAAAAATTTACACATCTCCTTTGCACAAGATCACTCTTCACTTGTGAGAGAATATTTCAAAATGAAAATGGTATCATGTAAAGCTAAACTAGCAAAATCATGATGATATTTAAGTGCATTTTCAAGCATTGCATGTGTTGAGTTTCATCTAGTTGGGACATCTAATCTCAAGCCCACGGAAATGTCATCCCCTCTGTCTTGAACATATTTTTTAAAATTTTATCATTCTTGCCTTTGATGCCTTTACATATTTATTGCTTTCCCTAATCTTACATACCGCATTAGCTGCTACTTTCAAGTCTTCTTGAACTATGAGATTTAAGATGTGAGTACAACATCTCACATGAAAAAACTCCCCTAAACATATCAAGCTATTTTGTAAGTTCAACACATCTTTCAATATAACTTATATATAGTCATTGGCTAAAGAATGCTTCGGGCTTCTAAAATACAATGGGTTCTACATAAAGTTGATCATTATGAATGTTACGAGAGTGATAGAAAATACTTTCTTCTCAATCCCCCAATCTATTAAGCATTCATACACTTTTTAGCAAATTCAACCCTAGAGTATGGAAGATCCATCTTTGTAAATGCAAGAATTTTGCTATTAAGTTTTCATTTCTCATCAACAAAATATGCAGTTAAGCAAAGATAACCTTCAAAGGTTATTGCAATCCAACAATTAGAAGTGAAGCATACTCTACTAGGATTATTTTCTATAATCTTTTTCAAATCCTCTTTTTGACAAAGATAGAAATTCCAAGCATCCATTATAGTAGTTTTTCTTGTAATGAGCTTATAATCAGGATTCAAATATTTATGTAATTCCCTAACCTGTTCATACTCAACCCAAGAATAGGGGAGATCATGTTGAATAATAGCCATAGAAATTATTTCTTGAACTTTGTTGTTATCAATTTATCTAGCTCTAAGCTTCCCAGCTTGATCTATTGGCAGCCTTCATAAGTGTTCTTTTTTGTTTTCCTTTATTTTTTTTATAGGCTCAAGATTATCCATTCCACTCTCTTTACCAGTGTCTCTGGTAACCTTCTTTGTACATGTTTAAACTATGTTAAATAATTTTCTACCATTTTTCTCTCAATCGATGTCATGCCCACTTTTTCTTGAATATACTCATTTTGAATTTTATCTTTACGTGTATGCCATCATCTCAATATTCTCATATTTGCTACTTCAAATTTATGCTCATGCTATCCCTTAAATACCCAACATTCACTATCATATAATATAGTTGGACTTATAATAGTTCAATAAAACTTCTCTTTAAGTTTATTAGGTGCCTTGAATTAAAAGTAGCTCTTTTAGCATTTCTCCAATTAAACCATCTAGTTAGCTTGTATACTATGTGTAACATTCCTATTAAATTCCCATCATGTTGGATAATAACTCCCAAATATCAAAACTTTTCTCACTTCTAAATTACTACTGATTGACTTTTTATTAAAATTACAATACAAGTATTTCATCTTACTCTTACTCAAGCAAAAACCCTTCAATTCCAAGGTCCTCCTCCCACAAGATGTTAGCACTTCCTAAGAATCCTAAATTCCTTCAGCCAAAAGATTTTGATTGAAAATTTCTCTCTTGTCACATTTCAACTTCTACCACCTAAGCCTTAGGTTTACCATTTGTCAAAGTTTTTGATTTTTACTCTTAATACACATATCAAGAACAAGGACTCTATGTTGTGTTGTTACGTTATCTCTAAGAATTACTTTACAATTTTCACAAAATCTTTTATTTGTGTTCCTTATCAAAAAAAAATCAATTTGCGACCTTGAGATGCTACTTTTGTAAGTGATGAGATGTTCATTCCTCTTCTTGAAACAAATATTGACAATCTTGAAATCATGCGTCAAAAAGAAATCAAGAATAGATTGTCCTTTATTGTTTAGCTCTTAAAACTAAAATCACCATGCACCCTCACATAATTACTTGCTCCCCTCTCGACATGATCATTAAAGTATCGTCTAATAAAGATCTTTTCACTTTGATACTTTGAATCAATCCTTTTAAGTCTTCCAAAACAATTCCTTAAGATTGACTTTTGCCCCCAACTTGAGGTCCATAGGCACTAATAATATTAACAATTTCATATCCAATGTTCCTTTTTAAGAAAATAATTCTATTCCCAATTCTATTAGCTTTTACAATGTTCTTCTTTCCCTCCTCATCAACAATGATACATATCTCATTTTGTGTGCTTACTTTTCTTGTATACCAAAGTTTGAAACTTTTAATATTCGTAGTTTTTTCACCGGCCCATTTAGTTTCTTGCATGCACAAGATCTTAATTTCTTTTATGAATCATAACTCTTACTACCTCCATAGATTTACAAATCAAGGTTCCAACATTCCAAGTACCAAATATGATATTTCTCACATGAACTAATTTCTTTGGCTGCACTCGTCCAAAATAATGCAATAGACCTTTCTTATTTAACACTACACCATGGCTCCGATGTAGCATTCTAACTCACTTGTTATTGCATTCAAATCATACAACGCTTTACTCATGGGAAATGACCTAGCATTAGCACCAAAGTATCTATTGTTCATATCTATGTGACATTTAACAAAGTTTTATGTTGGCTACTGAGAGCCTAAAATAACCCTCCTCTTTTTACCCAGCCTTTAAGCCTGCTATAAACATAGGTAGAGTTTTTGACATATCATACATCTATCAAAATCATATTACCATCAAATAGTTAAATGATCCCATATTCCTCCTTTGAAAACAATGGGGTAGGCTATATGGTTAGCAATAGTATTATACACACACATATCTCAAATTAAAATTCCTCTAAACAATTAATTAGCATGAAGAGTAAAATAAATGTGCATGATAACCTCTTCGCCAAGCTAAAAAAATAATACTAGTACCAAAAAACAGTCTCCTCGGCCAGAGAACATCACCGCAACAAATTAATCCACAATAACATTAATCAGCTATCAATACAAGTCCCAAATTCAACAATTTCAACCAATGATAAATTAGAAAATCCTTAAACTTCCTTCCATTGCCAAAATCTCAATTCCACCCATAAACATACTCATTACTTAACTCTATTAATCATTAGAAAACCTAAATTAATCCACAATTTCTCCAATTAATCAAAATCCCCAATCTTTTCAACTTTGGGTTCCTCCAAAATGCCCAAATCCTACCATCCTTCATTTGGTACAAAACTAAACCAATCGATCCTTAATAAAACCTCTAATAAACCAAATCAAATAAATAAAACCAAATTTAAACAGTTAAAATATCACTATCCACCTTAAACATCAATCTCAATTCAAACCCTAACTTCAAATTCTTAAATCAAATATTTTGGACAAATCTAAACCATATAAACTCTCATTTTAATATCATTAGTTCTACTAAAAACTAAACAACTAATTGAAACACCCAAAAATTTAAAATCCATCAAACTCTAGGTTTTCCACCATCAAGAATCCTTAAAGAATAGGTAATACCAAAAATATTTAGAAAAGTTATCTAGTCTTAGAAAATTTTAAATCACATTAAAATATCATCTTGTGGAGTTTAGCACTAAAAATGCCACCGCTCTCTCTCGCTTGCTCTGTTTTGCGGTGCCAGGGGAGGAAAAGAAGAACGAAGAAAATTAGGGAGATGGGGGATATTGTCTGCTTGTGTGTATGTATTGGGTTGGCAATATAATTGCCAAAGGAAGTGGGGAGGTCGTGTGCCCTCACCATTTATTATTATTTTTTTTTTACTAACCTTCCTTCTATTATACCTTATATACACAAACCTCCTATTTATTTTAAAAAATCATATAAACCTCCCTTAAAATTAAAATATATATTACATAAATCTCTCTTATATATTTAAGATTCTATTTCCATCCATCCAACCAGCATTTAATCATTAAGTTTTACTTTTAAAATTTTAATTTGATCAAAATACCCCTCTTTAACATAAGAATTATCTAAAAATCTATATTTGCAAAAAATATTTTTTTGTATCCAACCAAAAAAATACAATAAATAAATTTGGAAATTTTTATTGTACTCTAAAACTTCATGTTATAAACTTTTATTTTTTATCAAATTTATTGAAATTTATTTTTATTTTTAAAATTTATAAAAACATAATTTAAATACATGTTTTTGTTCATCACATAACATAAAATGATAAAGTTTGAGAGATTATATAAATAATTAAAATTTATAATTTATAATCATGTTTTTTAAAATGAATTTATATAACCATCAAAATAATATAATTTAGGATTTATTAGGGTAAGTGGTAAATAAGTAAATAAAAAAATTTCATATAAATTTTAATTTAAAAATATTTTTTGGAATCTTTTTAGAATATTCCAAATAGAGTTAATAGATTGAACTAAATTGTATGTTTTCACAATA